GTTTTAGAATTGGTATTTTGGTTCATGTAAACTATACTTCGTATTGGAGATGATGATGGTTATTATTTAATTTTTATTTTTATATAAACGGAAGCCTTTTTCTAAAACTTCGCTTATGGTCTATGAAGATCTAGGACCGGCAGTGTAATTTGTTACTAATTTGTTCTTTTCTTTTTGGTTATCTATCAAATAAGTTATGTAACAAATATATGATAAACAAATCGGTGTAAATAAAAAATTCAAAGTTTTGGTTTTATATATAATTACGTGGTGGTGGTCTGTTGTAAATCACTTTGAATACGTTTTTTTAACTAAGCTTGAGTCTTTCCACTGCGATTTTAATCATTATTGGTCATCTATAAGAATTTTTAGTGGAAAAAGATAGTCAGATTTTTATAGACTTTTAAAAAGGATCAATTTGCTCTATAACCAAAAAAAAATTATTCCACCTGTTACAAAAAAAAAAAATTGGTTTATTCAAGGTTCGTTTTCTTAAATAGTTTTGGATTTGGAGCTAGGGGTGCCCATAGTGTATATAGGCATTTTCTCATCAACATATTTGTTTTTCCAAAAAATAGTGATCCATAATGTTCAAGACCAAACTGACATAAGATAAGATGTTATACATATTTTAATATATAGGGAATGATCATTTTTATGCAATTTTTCATTAGAAGCTGTTGTATTGTTTTTTACCAAACTATCTATTTTCAGATGGAAAGTGTTTTAGGCCATATGGTATATATCAATCTTACCAATCAAAATCAGCAATTGATCATAGACATGGAAAAAAACACCATAATATATAGCGCTAATTTGCTCAATGAAAAAAAAAACTAATAATTAAAAAACTAACTAAAATGAGGCTATGTAGCATAATTATATACACTATATTTAATTGGTTATATTTTTACTTATAATTTTTTTTTTTGAGCTATTCCACCCAATTTCCCTAATATATATTAGAGTGGTTTTTGAGGAGAATAACTGGTTTTAATTTTTGTGTGTGGTTATTGAGCTTTCTTGACATGTCTAGATGATGGATCAGGATCTATAGGTAAATGTTTTTTTCATTTGGAGGTAATTCGGGCTTTTACTATCTAACTAATCTTCCCAAGGTGAGTTTAGTCGTCGAATAGTCTACTCACCAAGTTTTCTGATGGGTCTAAAGCGTAACACCACTTCGACTGGCCAAATGAGAGTGGTTAGATAATTACACGTTTGAGGGGAATTGAACCCTACCCTAAACACACGGAACAATTATTTCCTCAAATAAAAACCACTAGTCCACCACCACTTAGTAATGTATAGGTAAATGTTACACGAAATTTAATGGATATGTTTAAACGTAAATTAGAATAGCTACGTTATATGGAATTCTAATTTTAGAGAAAAAATACAATAGTCTGCCTAAGTAAATTTTGTTCTTTTAATAATTTCTTCATTTTATTTCATAAATTATTTCAACTCAATAAATATATTTGGGCTATTAAAATCAAACTTAATTGGAGTTATTTAAAATTTTATCCATTATGGCCGTTATGTAGATCAATGTAATTAGGGTTCAAATATTTGCTATTGTGACTTTGATGTATTGTGTTTTTGGGTGATTGATCATCATTTTAAATTATAACTTGAGTATTTTGTTGAAGTTTAGAGTTTTAAAAAAAAATCCAGGTACAATATGAGAAAAGACTTAAATTGGAGCAAAAGTGATTAAAAATGTTAAA